ATTTTAATTCCCAAGGGAGTTGCTGCTGGGGCAGGTGTTGGGACACCTGGGTTTCCTGTGCTGAGCTGGTGCAATATTTCCATTTCTTGCCTATCCTGTAGCTTCAATTCCTACAAATCTGCTTTTTGAGCAGGACTTTGGTGCTGGAGAATTGCACTGCTGTGATACCTGGATGTAAAACAACCTCTGTGTGCAGGCCTCTTTTGATGAATCATTCAGGAGCTTCAACAAAACCCAAGTTTTGTGTTGCTAGGACAGAGTGGAAGTGCCCCAGCTTTGCTGCTCTGGTGATTTCTCTTTTTCCATCACTGGGGAAAGCAGAGAGGGGACAATCATTGACATTTGAGCTGCTGGGTGGCTGCAGGGAGCACAGCAGCTCTGTGGAGCAGAGGAATAAACTCAATATGTGGCCAAGCTGAGCAGCTGGGGCTCTGTTTCTCCACCTGCTTTGTGGAAGGGAGCTGCCAGTCAGAGGGGTTGTGTTTCTGCTGATGCCATTCCCTGTTTTTCCCTGGTTTTGCCGTGTTTCAGGAAGCTCAGGGCCACGCTGGATGAGTACACCACCAGAGTGGGGCAGCAGGCCATCGTGCTGTGCATCTCACCCTCCAAACCCAACCCTGTCTTCAAAGTGTTCGGTGCTGCACCCTTGGAGAACGTGGTAGGTGTCCCTGAGAAAGCTGCAAAGAATTTTCCTCACCTTCTCTGTACATTTCCCTCTGCTCAGGGCAGCCTTGGAGGCCTGGCAGGGATCTGGAGGTCGTGTTAATTAAAAGCCCTGGCAAACAGAGTTGAGGTTTTATGGAATAGAGTGCTGAGGTTTTATGGAATACAATGCTGAGGTTTTATGGAATACAGTGCTGAGGTTTTATGGAATACAGTGCTGAGGTTTTATGGAATACAATGCTGAGTTTTTATGGAATACAGTGCTGAGGTTTTATGGAATACAATGCTGAGTTTTTATGGAATACAGTGCTGAGGTTTTATGGAATACAATGCTGAGGTTTTATGGAATACAATGCTGAGGTTTTATGGAATACAATGCTGAGTTTTTATGGAATACAGTGCTGCTTGAGTCAGTGATTTCAGAGATCTTTTCCAGCCTTGATGTTGCTGTGATTCCCTGGCACGAGGGCAGCACTGAGGTCCTCTCTTGTCTGCAGGAATGGCTGCCTGGCACATCTCACCAGGGGGGGAAAATCAGAGGGAACAGGTCATGATCACACAATCCCCAAATCCCTGAGGATGGAAAAGACCTCCAGGATCACCGAGTCCAAGCTGTGCCCATCCCCACCTTGTCCCCAGCCCAGAGCCCTCAGTGCCACATCCAGGAATTCCTTGGACACTCCAGGGATGGGGATCCAACCCTCCCTGGGCACTTCCAATCCCTGCCCGCCCTTTCCATGGGGAAATTCCCCAAAATCCACCCTGCCCTCCCCTGGCCCAGCCTGAGGCCGTTCCCTCTCCTCCTGTCCCTGTTCCCAGATCCCAAATCCCCCCGGCTGTCCCCTCCTGTCAGGGACTTGTGCAGAGCCACAAGGTCCCCCCTGATCCCCCTTTTCTCCAGACCAAACAATGACAAACCATGGCATGCTAGAGCTCAGCTCTGCTCTCACTTCCTGCACCTTGTCAAGTTCTGCTTCCAGAACTTTTCCTCCCATCCCACAGATCCTTCCCTTGCCACTGTTACCCCGGGTTTCATCAGCAGCTCTTCCTCAGGGCTGAGTCTCGGGGGGCACTGCCTGTTTCCTGCCAGCTGTGCCACCCTTTGTCCCTCCTGCTCTGCAGCCCCCTGGGGAAGGTGGCTGGGCCTTCATCCTCCTCCTCTCCTGCTGCTGCTTGTGGTCACTGCCCTGCAGAGAGAGAGAAAGGACAGCAACACACACAGACTTTTTTGGGGAAAAAAGGCCAATTTATTGTACAGCCAGCCCGGATTTAAAGTGTGTTAGTGCAGCCAGGACAGGACAGGAGCTCATGGGACAATTGGGAAAAACATCCTTGGGACAGCACCTCAGGATATGTCCCACGGGAAAGACACCAGGGGTTAATGTTGGTGATGAATTCCACTCTGTTTGTCACCATGTTGTCACCCTGGGAGACTCCTCCCTAACTGAAGCTGCAGTCAGCTTGTCAGCCTGGGAATGGAGCTGAGAGTCAGGAGAAATCCAGGCCTGGAAAAGAATTCCCAAGCTGGAATTCCCTAACTCTCTGAATGAGCGTGCCCACAGCTGCTCACCTTGTTTACCTGAGCCTTACAACTCCCCACAGGTACGAAAGTACAAGAGCACCATCCTGGAGGACCTGGAGTCCGCGCTGGCCGAGCACGCCCCGGCCCCGCAGGAGGTGAACTCGGAGCTGCCTCCCCTCACCATCGATGGCATCCCCGTGTCCGTGGACAAAATGACCCAGGTGGGCAGGGGACAGGACACAGAAGGGATGTTTGGCAGCTCGCAGGCACGCCCTGTTGTTTTTGTGTGGCTGCATTTCCCGGGGGGATCGCTCTCAGCTCTTTTTTTTCCCCCCACTCCTTTCCCCTGGGGGTTGGAGCAGCTCAGGTCGTGCTGATGATTTTCTCAGTGAAAAAAAAAAAAAACAAAACAAAAAAAACCACGCTGGTGAGGAGAGCTCAGGCTGCTGGGAGCCTTCATTCCCTTCGGAGCTGAGGGTTTTGGCACCTCCCAGAAAGTGGGAAAATGTTTGTGCCACTCTTTGTCACGATGTTTGGGTGCTGAGGTTGGGCAGGTCACTCATGGACACTTTTCTGTGTCCTGCACTTCATTCCCTCCTCTGTTTCCCTGCTCCATTGGAGCACAGAGGAATTTGCCAAAAGTTTAACTCCCACATCACACCCTGAGTGAGATATTAGGGAATTATCTGCCCTGGCCATGTGGGAGATTCCTTTTCTCTCCACATCCAGCCCCTTGCTGACCTTGCTTGGAGAAATTGGAGGAGATTTCCCAGGGAAGTTTCATCAGGAGGGAAATCTCCTTCCCCAGGGCTGCAGGAGCTGAATTCAGGCTCGTGTGTCCCCTGGCTGCACCCAGCCTGAGGCACCACGACAGATTTTAAATGCTGAAAGGTGATTTTTTTTTTTTTCCCCCAAGGGAGTAAAAAGGGCAGCACACACAGAGGTGTCAGAGCAGGGCAAAAATTTGCAGATTTTTTTGTTCTCTGCTCAAAACACCATTTCCATTTTTTAGTGGAATCAGACAAGCTCACACTAATAATAAAATTTTATTAAGCCTACTGTGCTTTGGCTGGTACAGATCATTTTCCCAATCCCTGACAAATAAGACAAAATCTTTTTATTTTTATTTTTAAACTCCTGTGAAAGGTGGCACCTGCAGGAACTGCTCATGGGCAGCTTTTGTTGTTCACCAAGTCAAAGTTTGCCATGGAAATGTTTTCCCCCTCCTTTGCTCAACCAGCCCAAAATGCTGATGTAGAACCTCTTATTCCAAATCCTCTCCTGCTGCTTTATGGTAGAAAAACAAGGATTTTTTTAGGAATGATCAGTTCCAGCACAGGGAGGTAGCTCAGAAGAGCTTTGTGGAAAGGTTTCTCCTGAGCTGTGCACATCATTTATTGTGGCAATCTTGATTCCCAGACCTTCCAGTATAATTATTTGTATTTTCTAGTTAAAAAAAATACAACAAAAAAACAGCTTTTTTGCAACTAAGTTGCACAAAACCCCGTGGAAAACTGGAATAAAAATAAAAATAAATATAAATATAATCAGGATGGCAGGGATTGGAAAAAGGAGGCCTCTGCTTTCAGCAGGTGCCAGCAGGCAGGTGTAGAGGTGTCATCAATGAGGAGGTGAAAATAACTCTCCTTTTAATTGCTCTGCTTCCCCAGTGGTCTGGAGGGAAATAAAACCTTTATTTGCCTGGGCAAAGATGATTCTCTAACCTTGGGAATGGAGACTATCACCCACCTGGGCTGGGCAGGAAAATCTGTGTTGCAGTGGGATTTTCAGCCTTCAGAGAGGAGAATCCTGGACCTTTGTGGGCTTTGCTGAGTTTGTTCTCAGTTTCTCATTGATTGATGTGATTGAGGAATAAAATTGGGTAATCTGAGTTTAACCAAGCTGAGCTCAGTGCTTCAGTCAGTTTTATGAGCAGCTGATTTGTCCTTTAATCTGACTTTTTTTTTTTTTTAAGCTCCCCCATCATTTATAACCTGCTTGTAGCAGCCAATCAAATTCTTTTCTGGGCTTCCCAAAAATCCTCGTGGTGCTCCTGGGAGCTGCATTCCTGCTCTCCCAGCCTGGCACATGCCAGGGGCAGGATCCCTGCTGGAATCAGCTCCCAGGGCAGCAGCCTGGGGGATTTTGTGCTTTTCCAGCCCTGGGAAGGGCAGCAGGGATGGATTCAGGGATGAGTGGGCATTTCCAGCTCTTGTGCAGTTGTTTTTTTTTTTTTTTTTCCCTCTCCCACTGCACGGACCTGCAGAGATTCCCAAGGCTGAGCTGTGGGGATGTGTAGAAAATTCCCAGGTTTTGCTCTGTTCTAGAACCTCCTTTCCTTGCTGTTTCCAGCTCTGGAGAGCAGCTGGAATTCAGCTGGCTGTGCTTTGGGCTGTTCCATTGGGCACTGGCATAGCTCAGTGCCATTCATTCTTGAATTTAACATTAACACTGGAAACCCTCAGCCTGTGGCAAAGAAAAATTTCTCACAATTTCTCCCCAAATCCTCCACCCTGGGAATTACCTGAGCCCTTCCCAAGCTGCCAAGGGCACAGACTGGAACGTGCCACTGGATTTTTTTTATGTTTATTTTTTTTTTCAGCAGATGTTCGATTTTTTTGGGGTGGCTCCTGCAGGTGAATGTTCCCACCTGTGCCCTGAGGGATGTGGGGGATGTCACCTGTGCCAGAGCCTCGTTAGGACATTAATTAGCCAAGTCCTGTCTCCTGACAGTGCTGCTGATTGTGTCCCCCGTGGATTAAAGACCAGCCCTCCTTAACAAGAACCTTGAGTAGCTGAGGCCTCAGCTCCCATGGAGCACTAATTGATCAGCTGGAAACAAGGAGCATTGCAGGGAAGGAGATTTTAACTGTTTTTGCACCAGGCAACTCAAAAAAACTCCCAAAAAACCCCAACTGCTGCTACCACGTTTATTTGAATAAATTATTGGGCAGAGTTATTGTTAAATAATAATCCTTGGGAGTGAACTCCCTGCCTTTTACAGCTTTTCCAACCCAAATGACTCCATGGTTCTATGAAATAATTTACTCTAAAAGCTCTGAAGGGATGCAGGAAGCTGCTCCTAAATGCAGTTTTAAAGCTCTAAATGTGATTTCCTCTCGATAAAAGGAGAGCTCTCCCCTTCCTGCAGCCTTTTCCTGGTGCTCCAAGGAGTCCCTGGTACAAAACCAATCTTGTCCCAAAATCCTGTGTGAGTTCTGTATTTATTTGGGCTGGAGAAGGGTGGGATCACTGAAGCTCCATCCCCTCACAGCATCTCTGTAAAAGTTACATCAGCTCCTGCCACTGTAGGGACATTGATTGTGGGGTTTTTAATGGATTATTGTGATTTATTTGGGGTTTTTTTTCCATTTCAGGTTGGCTCGTTCTCTTCCTGGTAGTGTTTGAATTGTGAAGTGCCAATACAATGAGTTTGTGCCTTGGTGTAATTTCGTTTTTGGGCTGATTTCATTTGGTTTCTTCTCTTCCTCCTGCTGCCAAGCTGAGTCTTGGGAGAAGATGCCCAAATATTTCCCACCTTCCTTGAGGCATCCAGGCCTCTTTCCAATTGATGGCTCCAACAGGATGAGAGCTGAACCCAACAATCCAAACCAAACAGAGATGTGAATTCCCAAACACATTCCCGACCTTCTCTTTGCTCCAGGCACAGCTGAGAGCCTTCATCCCCGAGATGCTGAAATATTCCACGGGTCGTGGCAAGCCAGGCTGGGGCAAGGAGAGCTGCAAGCCCATCTGGTGGCCCGAGGACATCCCCTGGGCCAACGTGCGCAGCGACGTCCGCACCGAGGAGCAGAAGCAGAGGGTGGGTGTCGCCCTTCCTGGGAGTGGTTTTTGCCTCGAGGGGGCAGAGAAAAAAAAAAAAAAAAAAAAAAAAAAAAAAAGAGTTTGTGTCGGGAAGGGATGCTGGTGGTCAGAGCAGCAGGGAGATTTGTGCTTCAAGGAAAGAGGAGTGGATGAAATGAGAGAATTGGGTGGAGGAATCCTGAGGAAAGCTGTGGCAGGGATGATGAAAGGAAGGCACCGTGGTGTGGGGGCAGCAGGGTCTCTGCAGGCTGGCTCAGGGCTGGCAGTGGTGCTGTGGCAGCATTTTGGTGCTTTCCCAAAAATCTCTGTGGTTTTCTTGCTCGGAGTCACTGAATGGTTTGGGTTGGAAGGGTCCTTTAAAAGTCTTCTCATCCTGCACTGGGCAGGGACATCTTCACTGGACCTGGGGGCTCTGCAGGGGGAGGTCCTTGTGGAAAGGAGGGGATGAGCAGAAGGAGATTGAAAATTGGGCTTGTTGGTTTGTGAATTGTCACAAACCCCAGTAAAAACAAACACACAAATCCCAGCACCGTGCTGCCCCAGAGCACTTCCCTGGGCTGACTGTGTGTGCTCGCTGCCCTGCACAGAGAGAGAAAGGACAGTGACACCCACGGAGCTCTGTGGGGAAAAAAAACAATTTATTGTACAGCCAGCCCGGATTTAAAGTGTGTCAGTGCAGCCAGGACAGGACAGGAGCTCATGGGACAATTGGGAAAAACATCCTTGGGACAGCACCTCAGGATGTGTCCCACGGGAAAGACACCAGGGGTTAATGTTGGTGATGAATTCCACTCTGTTTGTCACCGTGTTGTCACCCTGGGAGACTCCTCCCTAACTGAAGCTGCAGTCAGCTTGTCAGCCTGGGAATGGAGCTGAGAGTCAGGAGAAATCCAGGCCTGGAAAAGAATTCCCAAGCTGGAATTCCCTAACTCTCTGATTATATGTGCATCCACAACCATGCCCTGTTTTTTTTTCCTGCTGGAAGGTGTCCTGGACCCAGGCCCTGAGGACCATTGTGAAGAACTGCTACAAGCAGCACGGGAGGGAGGATTTGCTCTACGCCTTCGAGGACCAGCAGACCCCCCAGACCACGACCACGCACAGCATCGCCCACCTGGTGCCCTCCCAGACCGTGGTCCAAACCTTCAGCAACCCCGATGGCACCGTGTCCCTCATCCAGGTGAGAGCAGCCCCACCCTGGCATTCCCATGAGGAATTTTGCCTCAGGGGACTCAGCTGGAGGAATCGCTGCCTCGGGACAGAAGGGACAAAGTCTCTCTGTGCTCTGGTGTTGAAGTTTGCAGTTTATTTCGTAGGTGTGGGTTTATATAAGGCCCTGCTGGGACTGCAGCCACAGCTCAGAGCAGACAGAGAGGAAGGGATAGAGCAAGAGTGAGAGAGTAAGAAAATAAGAACAAAGAGAGAAGAGAGTAAAACAGGAAGAGTAAGAGCATAAGAGAGAGATTTTCCCCTTTACAACACAACAAATCTTCCACATTGAATATTCCAATTTCCACTAACCAATCTTAATACAAGATACAAATTCTTTAACATTTGCATGCAACCTATAGGAATCACTATATTACCATGTTTTACTGCTTTTCTCATCTCTACATTTTATCTGGGACCCTTCCTGCCGTGCCTAGGGAGGATGTCTGTTTGGTTTTTTGGTATTGGCATCATCTAACATGATCTAAACAAAGGGGCCTTCAGGCATTCAGTTGCTTTCAGCCACACAGTCAAAAATTGCTCTCATTTCCATTTCACTTATATTTTCCATATTCTCAAAGTCTTTTGCACTCATATTTATAAAGTTTCCCTAATTCATCCCTCCCAACACTCAGGAGCTAAGCTCTTCTCTTTATTTTATCTTTATGGTGTCTTACCACAAAAATCCATCCTCATCCTCTCTCTCTCCCCCCAGTTCTCCTTGTTCTCCAGTGCAAGGATTTGTGTGATGTGGTCAAACCATTCAGGGATTTGACCCGAGTTTTGTGAACCTACTTAAAACAAATCCAATCCCTGGTGCCAGCACGCAGCACCCGTGGTGGCAATGGGAGGAGAGGTGGTGGAGCTGCCTTCCTTTAATGGTAGGAAATGCAGTTTATTCAGCAGATCAGGTATTTCTGAAGCCCCTGGGCTTCATCTGACACCTGAAGTGTGTTATATTTATTACAAACACCAAATCCATCTTTGTCCTCGTGGAACGAGGATTCCTCTCACACTGTTCTTAGCTCAGCACTGCTGCTGTTTTTCCCTGTTTTCCTGTGTGGGAAGGCAGATTCTGGCAGCTCAGGATGTCAAAAAAAAAAATCAGTTTTTCTCTTGAAACTTCCCACAGACTCCCTGTGGGAGTGAGATTTGAATTTCAGTTTCCCCTGTGCCTCTAAACCACCACTGGTGGTTCCAGGCCCAGCCCTTTGTCCACGCCCTTGATCGTCCCATTTTTAGTGAAGTCTCAGACATTTCTCAGACATGATGAAGATAAAAACTGGGTATTTTGGGTTTTTTTCCCCCCAAATGAAGCTTTTCAGTGGCTGTGGGAGTTTTCAGCTCCCACCAAGGCCCAGCAGACTTGCCAGGCTGCTTCTCTTTGCTCACCTGTCCATACAATCTCCCTTTCAGGTGCTGGACACCTGAGATCCCATTGACTTCCTGACATTTATTTTTTAATTCTGCTCAGAGACAAAGCTGCCCATCTCCCTGCCTTTGTCCTTTCCCAGCTGTTAAATGGAGGAAAAGATCATTTCCAAAGGGGTATTGAGGGTGAGCTCATGATGAGACCCAGGGAATGGGGGAGCACAAGGAGGGGATTCTGAGGTGGGGTGGCAGAAGGGACTGGACTCCACCACGTTCCCACAGCTGCTCTTCCCAAGGTTTGGAGGATGCTGAGGCCTCCATGGATGTAGGGATGTGCAAAATTTGGTTCCAGTCTGGAAGCTGCCATGGATTAACACCCACCTTGAGATTTCCTCCCCCTTGGGGACAGCTCTGTGTTTTCTGTGAGCTCTGCAGTTACAATTAATCACAGAACCACGGGGTTTGAAAGGGTTAAAGATCCTCTCATTGCCATGGGCAGGGACATTTTCCACCACCCCAGGCTGCTCCAAGCCCTGTCCTGGACCCTTCCAGGGATGGGACACCCCCAACCTCCCTGCCTCCAGCATCCTACCACCCTCACAGTAAACTCCTCCATTCCTTTTCATT